GGGGGGGGGGGGGGGGGGGGGGGGGGGGAGGAAGAGGACTGGCAATGCATGAGCACACTTTTTGGGTGCTGGATTCGAGACGCGGGGAGGAGGTTGTGATAGGCGGTGAGGGGAGGGGACGGAATGTGCGGGTTTCGCGCGCAGAGACTCGAGGCAGGGGAGCGGGTCGGGTGAGGACACTGAATAGCTGCGTGATGTAGAATCTTTTGGCAATTGCCTAGGCCACTTAAGGGAGAAGGAAAAGGGTGATGGATTGAAAGGAGGAAAACAAGGAAAAAGTATCAGCAAGAAAGTAAATAAAAGCAAGGAAAGTACCAGCAAGAAAGAAAGTAGAAGACAGAAAAAAGTGCAAGCAATAAAGAAAATAAAAGCAAGAAAAGCAAGCGAAAAACCCGCCATACATAGAGGACTTCCCCACTCATAAAGCTGATGCTTAGGCGAAGAAAGCTGAGAGCCAATAAGATGAAACTGATGCTTCTTAGGTGAAGCGGCGAGCTCTCAGCTTTACCTAAGCATCAGCAATCAGGTCCCTGAGCTCTACCTAAGCATCAAGTTTATAAATACGGAAGCTTTACCTAAGCATCAGCTTCATAAACACGGAAGCTTCACCTAAGCACCAGCTTCGTAAACACGGAAACCTTACCTAAGCATCAGCTTCATAAATGGGAAAGCCCTTTGCTGATAAAGCTTCCTTATGAAGCTGATGCTTAGGTAAGCTGAGGATCAAACTGCTGATGCTTAGGTAAAGCTTCCGTATTTATGAAGTTGATGCTTGGGTAAAGCTCAGGGGATCAAATTGCTAGTGCTTAGGTAGGGTTGGCGGATCAAACTGCTGATGCCTAGGTAAAGACAGAATTTGCAGTTTTACCTAGGCATCAGTTTTATCTTACTGGCTTTCAGCTTTCTTTACCTAAGCATCAATTTTATGAGTGGGGATGTCCTCTATTTATGGCGGGTCTTCCGCTTGCTTTCTTTGCTTTTACTTCCTTTATTGCTTGAACTTTTTTCTTTCTTGCTGGTACTTTCCTTACTTTTATTTCCTTTCTTACTGTTACTTTTTCCTTGTTTCCCTCCTTTCAATCCACCACCTTTTCCCCTCTCCCTTAAATGGCCTAGGCATCTGCCAAAAGTTCTACATCACGTAGTTATTCAGTGTATTCACCCAACCCGCCTCGAGTCTCTGCGCGCGAAACCCGCACATACCATCCTTCTCCCCCACCGCCTATCACAACCCCCTCCGCGCGTCTTGAATCCAGCACCCAAAAGTGTGCTCATGCATTGCCAGTCCTCTTCCCCCACCCCAACGCTTCTACCTTCTATACTCTCTGCAGTATATCCCCCTCCCGAGCACTTTCCATACCCCGCGCATCTGCGGCAAAATCAGCACACGGACCCTCCCCCCATCCGCCCATCACTTCCTCTCCCCTATATGGCCACGCCACGTTCCCACTCAGCTCATCCCAGCACCCCTTCCCCAATGCCTCCGACCAGCGGCCACCATTCTCACACG